CAACAATCTTCACCATGTGGTTAATATCATTTCATCTAAAGTACTTTGCATTTGCCGAGCCACTGCTGCCACTATTTCCTTCCTCCATCTCCTTGTCTCTCAATCACCCAGGCTTAGAAAAGCAGCTGGTCAATAGTGTGTCCATCCTAGATAATGCATGAAGTGCCCACTTTACACTGCCTGGCAACCCATGCATAAATGCACAAGCCAGTATATGGTCACTCATCCAACCTAACAAGAACGCAAGTTTCTATAATTCAGCCAGATATACATTCACAGATTCATTGTACTGCAGGTGCTCCTAGATGAGCTCTTTGTATGCCATGAACAAATCCGTATCAAAGGCTGTAACTAAGGCAGTCTTTATCTGGTCAACGTCGGATTTTGCTTTCTCATCCAGTTGTTGATAAATTGCAAATGCTCTGCCCATAAGTCAAGAGGAATCATGTGCTCCAAAGACTTCACTCCACATAGCTTGTAAATGAGTTCCACCTTTATCTATTCAACGACTGGCAGACCAGACACTGATGCATCAAACTTGGGAATTAACTTTAAATTGAATTTGGGTTCTTCCATCATCCATCAATCGCCAAAATAGCTTGTGTTCATCTTGTCTGGTTTTCACACATCTACACATTGAGAGTGTCTCCCCCAACTGAGAAAATACTGGTGTTATATAGCTCTCCCAATCCCAGAGAGTCCCACAAATGAAAAGTGCAAGAGAAGAAATTACTAGCATAGAACTTATGGTTACATCTCGCCATTTCAACTGTAAAATGATGAGACCTTACTGCACTTAAATTCATAAACTTGAGGTACTAAAAAGGAAATGTCATCAGAATAATTATGAAAATATTTATAGAAAAGGGAAACTACATTACATTGGTGAGAAAGTGACTGAAGCTAAAATGCCAAGTCAGGAGCGTTAACATTGTAGATTTTTCTTTGGATTTTATTAATCATCTCTAAATACATAGCAGAAGCACAAGATCAGATGTATCAGAAATATGCATGGACAAATGGTAGACTCATAAAGGTCTAAGTTAGATTCTGGAGAGAAAAGTGTCGAGCAAGACCGAGTGAACCAACTCTCCTAGCAACAGATCTAGCAAGTGATTCAATATAATCTTTTCACTTCATGTCAGCTGAGAATGTTAGCCCAAGAAGGCATAATGAGTCACTCTGCTGGAGGTTATCATCTGCCATGCTTATGAAAGGCAAAAAAAAGTTCTCTAAGATGATTCGGAAAGAGTAACTTCATTTTGGAAGTGTTAAAATTAACAATATTTTTCTTGCCCCAGTTGGCATCAGGTTGGTGTCCATTTTTTTTAGATAAGCTGCCAATTTGACCTTATACATTATGCAATATTTATAAAATCTATCTATTTGTCTAAATGTTCATACTTGTTCTCTGTTAATTATGGTGACATGCTAGTGATGAGAACTTTACAGATCATCTGATGGAACAATAGTAAGAAATATATTTATGCCTTTCCTGATGACGTAAGTGTGAGGATAAAGTTAACAATTTCAGCTAGAATTCTAATTGTTCACCAATTCTAATTTTACAGATGGTAATTATTAGAAACAACAACAACAAAAAATAATGACAACAAAATTCTTGTTCAAATCCTACTTCAATCCACTAAAATAAAAACAAAAACAAAAAATAACAAAAACCAACAAATTTGCGCATTAAGAAAACATAAAAGTTATGTGTACAATATATAACATATCTACAGAGTATAAAATTATTACTTAAAAACATTATTTTTAATGGATATCCGTACTTGAGTAGACACTCCATTTATTTATTAAATAGATTTATTTTTGTCTATTGGCCTGAATATTCAAGGATGCATATTTTTCTTTATTAAGATTTCTCAAATATTCAGGCCAGTAGACAAAAATAAATAAACTTTCTAGTAAATAAACAGAGTGTCTATTCAAATATGGGTATCCACTAAAAATAATGTTTAAATTATAGAAGCAGTCAGATTAATAAAAACTCATCACTTTAAAAATTGCAAAGTAATACCGATTTACTTACAATCATTTTAAGTACAAGGCATAATTATAATCTTAGTTGAAATGTTATGTACACTACAGTTCAAAAGTTTGAAGCAACCTCCAGAATTAGCATGGGATTAGAATAGTGAAAACTTTCTATCTCAAAAATGAAAGAGCTCTTAGAGTTATTGAAAAAGAATGGAATCAATTATTAAACTTATACTTTCAGAAACTTTTGCAACAAATGCCAAAAATTTCTGCTGTAGTAATTATAATTAAATTTTTAATAAAAAAATCATGTCTCATTTTTTTTAACTATGTATAATAATTCTTATTTAAAGCATAAAACAACTACTTTTTGGGCCAATTTAAAAAATTACCAGTGGTGGCCTCAAACTTTTGAACTGTAGTATATGTATGTATGTAAGACTTGCATTAAAAAGAAATACACAAAATTATTGTAAAATACTGAAGGTGAGATGAGAAGGATTTAAGAAAAAAAAACATATTTAATAAAAATAAATCTGATTGATTGAAACCATTAACTTTTCAAAACTTTTAGAAGACAAGAATTACCTCCCTTTATGAATAAAATCAATTGATACAGACTGCTTATATATATTTTTTTTAATTTTTTAACAGGACCATGAGTACAGGATATAACCGAAAAAAAAAAAAATAAATAAATAAATAAAATTCTATTATGTTATGGAGATATCATACAGTAAAAATAATATACCATAGGTTCAGCTATTACCCAGTCTGTTGAACAGGAGTAGATGTTTTATCCCTTGTTTCTGTTTAGAATTCAGTTTCTAGTTCTTTCTAAAGGTCAACTCCAACTCCATACTTCTAACATGTCTGCATAAAATCTGAACTTTTATTTACTATTTAATTATTTTTTTCTCCTCAATGGGAGTAGATAGGTTTGCCTCTTCACTGGTCTTTTGAAGATGAGGTTTATCCATTGTTTCCTGTTTAGGATTGCATTTCCGGTTCCTTCTTAAGTCTTCATTATAAGACTTGCCTTATATCAAGTATTAAGAATATAGTAATTAGGCTCAGCAAATTGGAGGAGAGAGTTATCAATGATAATGTTCTGACTTCAAATCCGGTTATCTCCCTTTAACACTTTTTTTTTTTTTTTATTATTTTTTTAAGTTTTAATTCGGAAGATGTGACCCAGAGAAAAAGATTTTGGAAACCACTATGCTAGGCTGTAGACTGAAACAAAAGAATGAAATCAAAAATAGTGGAAATTAATAATAAAAATACTTCCCCAAAGAAATAATTAAATTAATACTTTAAGGGCAAATAAGACAGACTAGAATTCCATGGGAGGCAGACTTGATCCAAGACAAATTTGGAATTTGATAAAGCAATAATTGAAATGTTTCTATTCTTGGATATATTTAATTAAACTGTCTCATTTATTCAAAAACACCAGGAATTAACCAAAAATAAGTTTTATTTCTGATCGTCAATCATTTGTTACTGATAAAAAAAAAAAAGTAAAGGCATGAACCTGAAAATGTTGATGACAGTCCAAATCAAAGCATATAATAAAAATAAATAAATAAATCAGGCCAAGATTAAAATTTAATTAAGAAATGGAGATCTAGATTTGGAGAAGTGGTTAGTAAGCTAGCTGAGCAAACAAATATTACTGTAGTTAGTGCTACCTATATTTATGAACTAAATTTACTAAAAAGACCACTTATCTCAGAAACATATTGGTAATGAATTTTTTTTTTTTTTTTTTGCTAAAGTTCACTCAATAAGTCTCGAGAGTTACTCAAGGTAGAGGGTTATTGAAAGAGAAGTGTGATATGAATATGTAATGTTTGTGAAAAAAAACTTTTAAAAAATCCATATAAATTAAGATTTGGTAAAAGTGAACAAATTAGATTCAATTTATAGAAGATAAATTATTAGAACATGTTCTATTAATCAACGTCCTGGGCATGATGATAAACTACATTTGGCAGCAAGGCTCTGATCAGGAGGTTTTGAGGAGCATGGAAAAACCTCTTAATTGCTGTTCCCAGGGTGGTAGCACCTGTTAGCTATGGGCAAATAGTTAACCCCCAAACTGGGGTCAAAACACTATGAAAGTATAAAAATATTTTTATAGTAAAAATACTAGCAGTATATTTTCATAGTTAAAAAAAATTACCAGCAATACATTTTTTGTAAAAGAAATTACAAATGCTCCTAAGAAAATTAAATTTTGGCATTAAATGACCCATAAGGAGTTGATATGCCTCTAAACAAATCTATTAATCAGTTTCAGACAAAATAAAAAGCTCTTTTTAGTGAAAATTATTAATACAATATACTGACTGAGTGGATACCAGCTTACAATAAAAAGTAACTTTTAATTTACAGAAAAAAGATAAAAATTATACAGCATTTAAAACTCATCAAATTATTAATCTGCAAAGTTTCAACTTTTAAGCATTTTTTTAAAAACATTAGTTCACCTAATACAATGCCCAGGAGCCACTCAAAGTAGAGTGTTACTAAGTGAAATTGTTGTAAGGGAGGTGGAAGCAGAAAATGCATATGAACGATATGATGGATATATATATCGGTTGACCCTGGATTTGAAGAGGTTAAGATTGTACTGGTCTGGTAAGCATCCTCTTAGGAGTGTTCAACAAAGTATCAATTCTGGAGAAGCCGTCGATTGAATAGTTGGTTGCTGGTTGCTTTTATTTAGCAACATATCAACCTCTGAGGATTATTTAATGTCAAAATCTAAATATTTTGCACACAATTTTATTTATTTATTTTTTCAATAATAATGGTTTTAGTGATACAAGATTTACTAATTAACCCACAGCTTGAGGGAGAAGAGGAAGGGGATTCGTACCTTTCCCAAGGGTATTTGTGCATAAATGAATATAATGAACCCAACTGGAATTGGAACTTGGCTCTCCAATTAACAATTCTGAATTATTATCCATTACACCACTTGCCCATTCAAGCTTACAGCACCTGGTGTTCCCAAGTAGTCACCCATCTAGGTACTGACCAGGATCAATGTTGCTTAACTTTGATCATATGGGAACTGGTGTTTTAATGTGATATGGCTGTAAGCCACTGATTGAGTAGAATTTACTTCTTAACAAAAGAAAACAAAAAGAATAGGGATGATTTGCTAACATGAACATGATATGGCAAGTCCTAGCTGTGAAGATCTGAACTGGTAGGACTAACCAACGTAACTTGTTAGAACATTTGCCATAGTAAAAAGTATATGTTCTTTACTACATCTGCACATCAGGTATAAATAAAAGGAAAATGTATCAAGTAGATGATAGTGAAAGTAACAGACCAAGTATAATTAATAAAAGGAGTCATTAATTTTCCTGTATCTATTTCCTGTTATATGAAAACTGCTTTCATAAGGAACCGGACTAATAGAAAAAATGTAAAATTTCAATTTCTGGGACATAAAAATTTAAGCTTAAAATTTTATTTACCTTCTTTTCCTTTCCTATATGGATGATTTGAATATTTTTTACCCAATCAACTTTCTACAAATATGAGGAGGTGGTAGGAATTAAAGATTATGAAGATAAGGAGGCTAGCTAACAATTGACTTTGGACTTGAAAAGGCCAAGATTGAAGAATCAAAATAGCAATTTTACTGGGGGTATGGAAAGTTGTCCAAGCAGAACTTTGGAGTACAGAGGAAATGAGGATGATTTGAGTCAATGGATGTAGCATACCATGTTTTAGTTGTAAAGGTCTGAACTGGTAGAACTAAATGGAGCTCATGTGAACAGGCTTATGGCTATATCACATTGAAACATTGCCTCCCATACAATCACTGAAGTTCAGCAACACAGAGCCTGTTCAGTGCCTAGATGGGTGACCACTTGGAAATACCAGGTGCTGTAAGCTTGGATGGGTGGGTAGTGTAATGGATAACAGCTCAGAATTGGAAATCAGAGAGCCATGTTCCAATTCCAGTCAGGTTTATTATATTTACTTACATGTAAATTTCCCAGGGAAAGGTATTAATCAGCTTCTTCTCCCTCCAGCTATGGGTTAATTAGTAGGACTTGTATCAGTAGATCATAAATTTTTACAATATGAACAAATTTTCACTGGGAAAAGAGCTACAATCAGCAATTTATGAAAACAGTGTGCATTAAAAGAGAAAATGAAGTTTTAGTTATTTCATATATATATATATATATAAAAAATAAATCCTAATGAGCCAGGTACTTCCTACCTAGGTTTCACTACATGGGATCATCAGTGTGAACTGGAAGTTTCTGGTGCTTTTTTTTTTTCATTTTTCCTCGGATGGCAATTTATTTGAAAATTGGGCTATCCAGGTTTTTCCACCCACCATATTATATATATATATATATATATATATACACAAAAGACTATTTAAATGCACAGAAGTATATTTGTTTAATTTTAGATATCTAATTCATGGTATCAAAAAATGCCAATATTTTATGCCAAGCAATCATTTTTATCCCCCACAGCTACAAATTGTATGTATTATTTACAATACTTGTAAAATCAGTATCCCTCAATCCATTTCTTGATCATCTTCTGTCTCCAGCCTCCCTAATGCCTAACTGCTAAAATCAGGTCAAAGTCATAGGTAACATGTCTCTTTGAAGCACGATAATAAAAATGAATCATAATTTTGCTAATTGATGTTTAGTATCAAATAATTAGAATTTGTATTAATTGCCACCCAAAGGAGATTATTCAATTATTTATGCTTTTGTGGATGCTGGCAATAACTAGGAATTACTAATTATTGGTCTCTCCCCACCCCGTTAAATCCTTTGTTCAACTATTTCCAACTCAGATTTAGAAAAATGAAAGTGCGGAATGAACTGAAGAACTTTTAAATGATATTATATAAAGGGAGAACAGAAAATGTCCCATATATATATATAATTTCATACATATGTTGCAGAAGAAAAACAACAGCTGTGTCACTAATAACGGTAATAAAACCAATGTGAAATGATGACCCTGGGGTCAGACATTAGTATAGGGCTAGAGATCCATAACCATTAACCCAGAGTAATACTTTAGAATACCATTAGACTGCTGGTTTCATGTGAGAATGTCAGATGAAATTGCAGCCTTTTTATATATTCTTGTATTTACAAAATTTGAGTTAATGTTCACAGTCTTAGAAAGGAAACGTTAATTCAGTGATGTCAGATTTGAATTAAATAACCAGATAATGTCAAGATGCTGAACAGTGACCATGAATTTCAACTGGAAAGTCAACGTTCTACACATAAATCAATCTGAAGTAATAGGCAGTTTTCATTATTATATATAATTTTTATAACTGGTTGCTGGTGTCTTTCTAGACTGGTTACCAACCATGGCTAAAGAGCCCAGTCTGCCCATAAATGGGAGAGTAGAGATTGCTTCATAACTTCCAAAAAGTATTTGCATATAAGTGAATGTGATGAACTAGACTGGAATTTGAACACTGCTCTATGATTTCTTATTCTGAGCCATTACCCATTATACCACTTGCAATATTCTTTATATCCACTAATCATATATAATAATAGACAGTATTTGTTTTTTTTTCGCATGTTTTTTGTATGAAATTTTTGTCACATTTCAGAATATTCCAAAATATTATGCAAATAGGGTTTGTCTGTAATTCTGTTACATTTTAATTTATTTTTTAATTATTTCACCCCCAATCAAAGCGATAATGCCACTAGGATACAGGGGTTTTACAGGGAGTGTTGGTGACAGTGAAGAAAAAAAAAAAAAAAGAAGTCTACCCAAGTGCTCTGTAATCAGATACTATGATCATATTGTAGTATCTATTCCAGACATGATCAGCTAAGACAAGTTTGTGCCCATGCAGGCAGGGGCTGGGTAAAAATTGACCAATATTTTGATCAATAACCCAAGTGTATGTGCACTGGCTTCCCACGTTAAATAACTGACCTTGTGTCACATCCTGCCCCAGTGGGGTGGCTATGGGTAAATACCCAAGTGTTCTGCAGTCAAAAAACTATGTCATGGATGTTTTTTTAGTATCATCTCTCACCTTTGAGTATGCAGTATTGTGGTATATATTTGATGAATGGAGATGAATGAATTCTTGTGGTGTTTGAGTAATATGTAATGAATGAATGGGTCACAAATTAGATTAGCTAGGTTTAGGATAGTCAGTGACGACCATTCTCACCCCACCTCCTTTTTGGCCTTGTGCCACAATTGTATTCTTTATGCAATAAATAAAATGATAACAATCAAAGGGTAGTATCTGTTCCAGCAGCAGCTGACAGTCCACAGCTCCAGCCATCAGCGGCAGTTCCAGCTACCAGCCATCACTCTCGCCATCTTGAGTAGGCATTCAGCTCCTGCCCTTCCAATAGGCGTTCAGCTCCTGCTGCTCCAGTCATCTCCAGTGGGCCTCCAGCTCCTGCCGCTCCAGTCATCTCCAGTGGGCCTCCAGCTCCTGCCGCTCCAGTAGGCGTTTAGCTCCTGCCACTCCAGTCATCTCCAGTAGGCCTCCAGCTCCTGCCGCTCCAGTCATCTCCAGTGGGCCTCCAGCTCCTGCCGCTCCAGTCATCTCCAGTGGGCCTCCAGCTCCTGCCGCTCCAGTCATCTCCAGTGGGCCTCCAGCTCCTGCCGCTCCAGTCATCTCCAGTGGGCCTCCAGCTCCTGCCGCTCCAGTCATCTCCAGTGGGCCTCCAGTGGGCCTCCAGCTCCTGCCGCTCCAGTCATCTCCAGTGGGCCTCCAGCTCCTGCCGCTCCAGTAGGCGTTTAGCTCCTGCCACTCCAGTCATCTCCAGTAGGCATCCAGCTCCTGCTGCTCCAGTCATCTCCAGCTCCTCCAGACATCTTGAGTAGGCATCCACAAAACTGTCCTTTTCAGGACAATACTCACCAATGACTACCAAAACCATCCTTCCCAGAACAATGCTATTCTCACCCTCTACATGAGTTTGCAGAGTTATTTTTTTCTGAGTAAACTGTAACATTATTTTTTTTTTTTATGTATGTTCTTTAACAAAAATAAACTTGGCAAGATATTTTTGTTTTTTAATCAAGTTTTTTTGTTTATTTTTGTTTTCTGTCATTCAATATCTGTTTGTGGGTCAATATACCACCCTCAACAAGATCAAATAAAAGAAATGCCTTTTTCAAAATTTATAATTACAGTTACTTATGTGTTTATTTAACTTTGAATGATTCTCCTTTTCACACACACCATTTTTTTGCAGCCACAAAGGTTAAACATTGTTCATTAGACAACAATCCATTTACTGTTAAATTTTTAATTTAGTTAACAGTAATAGCTTGTGCAATTGTAACAAGCACTTGTGATCAGTCTTCTTTATTTACAAACCAACATTCATGATGCGCCTTTCTTTTGACGATGACCCAAAGATTTTCAATTGTGTTTACAGCTGGAGAAAATGGTAACCAGTTCATTAATCTACCATTTCTGAAACCCATTTTAGTTGGATAATTGTTGCATGCACACTGCATGAAGAAGTATCATCTTGTAAATTGAGAAACTTGTTCATAAACCAAGCCTAAAAATTGTCCTTTAAAAAAAGTTAATGTATGTCTGGGAAGTCATTTTTACTTTCTCTGGTATATGCCAGGGTCCAGCCAACTCCCTTATTTCAGCTGAAAATGACAGCAGCTCCTTCTCCACCACCACCTTGCTAATACTGCTATTGTACAGAATGCTGCCCTTCCTTTGTAAACCAGCCTGTTTTCCCTCCACCCAGTCAATCAGAGAGAGCTCAGCATTTGTCAGTAAAAAGAACACTGAAGTCAGTTTTCAAATACTTTCTGGTTCATTCCAAACATTTCATCTCATGTCAGGGTGCTTCCAAAGGTGGTCAAAAATCAGGCTTGACACATTTTTTGCTACATTACAAGGAATTCAAATGATTCGGACATTTTCGACAATCCCATTAGACAAAATTTAATTAAAAAAGTTCATTCAAATACGACACGTTTTGTGTTGAACCATAACTTTCTCTTATCACAGCATTTTAACTTGTTGTGTACTCTTCTTCAGATGATTGTTGGGTTTTAAATTAGTGATTGCTGACTAAAGCAATTGTTTAGCTCTCACCAGCATAATTGTCAAGCCCTGGTAAAAGATAGAATTTGAAACCTTCTATATGCAGTTTCTCTTCAGGACATAAGTGATCATGGTTCTCTACATTTTCTACACCTCTCTTCCTTTTAACTCTTAATGTTTGTCTTTTTGCTATCTCACCTAATCTCTGTTCTGCCAACCAGTTACACAAGCTTGTTAGCTAGGTAATTTACTCCTTTCTTTAGCCCCTTTTAACTTCAATATATTCTGTGAATATTAGATTTTCCAGGCCCTTTTTCCTTATGTGCTCTAGAAATTTCACTTGTCACTTTTTGATTCTAAGTATAAGCATCCTTTTTGTTTTCATTTTCTTTAAAACTTCCTTGTTAATCACATGCTCAGTCCATGGATTTCTAAACATTCTTTTGTAGAACCAGATTTCTGTTGCCTCAAGTTTCTTGATTTGTGAGGAGATTGACCAACAGTCACTGCCATAGAGGACAACTGATATTATATAACAGTTTAATAATCTTTTATTTCTAATGAAATTTTTCTGTTTCATAATAGTTTTAGTTATCTTTTGCTGCTCTAATGCACCATCAAATTTCAGTTTCACATTTCTCGTCCTCTGTTAAAAAAACTTCTAAAATATTTAAATTTTTGTACTGGCTTCATTTTGATGTCCTCAATTCATAGTTCACATCTTAAGCTATTCATTTTGTTGAATTCTATCTTACAATTGATACTTAGTCCTTTCTTCTTTTCTTTTACTACTTTCTAGGAGTTCCTGTAGTTACTTTTTGTATCTGATATCAATACTG